GTAGTCGAGATGATGAGGATAATCCACCGAGATGCGGAGAAGATGGTGGTTGGGGGGTGAGAAGGGGGCTGCAGCGCTGTGTTTTTGGACAATGATTATTGTCCAGGGTCTATGACAGCGTAACTCGTGCCACCCCCTCGCCGCTTTACATCTGCTTTGTCTCTAGTAGTATATAGGTTAAGGGCTCGCAGCCCAGGATCCTCGTCCCCTCGCCCTTCGGGAGCTCGCGCTCCTCGAGCTTTCGTTTTTTTGCCCGCTGGTTGGTGCACACCACGTCATTCACGGTGTTGCCCAATGGGGACCACCAGCTCCTTTCTTCAGCGATCCGCTCGCCACCCCTCCGGGCATCCGTGCCCTCGCCACTCGCCACTCCTCCGGGCAGCTCGCTGCGCCCTCTCGTCGTTCCGCCTGCCCTCCGGGGCCTCTTACGCGGTGATCCGCTCACTGCTTCCTCCCCAACCCGGCCCCCCGCCCGGCCGCATCATGCTCACTCCATCCCTTCTCCTCGGGCCGGCCCGCCCTCCCTCGATGAATCCGCTCGCCATCACTCCTCCTTGGGCTCGGGCCCCGGTGCCGGCCCCCGTTTGGGTGCAATCACTTCCCTTTGGGCCGATCCTCACGCTCAGCCTCCCGAGCCTCCGGCTCTCCACTTCACTCTCCTTCCTGGCTTGAGCTCGGCCCACCGGTCGCGCGAGAGAGCGGTGGCGACACGGACTCGGTGGTCCTGCGCAGCTTCCGTAGCGCGCGCCCAATACCATCATTTTCCGTCCTGCCTGAGTATAGCGTGCATAGATGTTTTGAACAATGATTATTGTCCAGGGTCTATGACAGTGTAACTCGTGCCACCCCCTCGCCGCTTTACATCTGCTTTGTCTCTAGTAGTATATAGGTTAAGGGCTCGCAGCCCAGGATCCTCGTCCCCTCGCCCTTCGGGAGCTCGCGCTCCTCGAGCTTTCGTTTTTGCACTCACCCTTCCGCTGCCCCATTTTTGGTCTCGCTTAGCTACGTCTCATGTATCAGGTACATTCGCCTTCCGCCGGCTTGAGCTCGGCCCACCGGTCGCGCAAGAGAGCGGTGGCAACACGGACTCGGTGGTCCCGCGCAGCTTCCGTAGCGCGCGCCCAATACCATTGTTTTCCGTCCTGTCCGAGTATAGCGTGCATAGAAGATAACTTGCGCACTTACATGTCCACGCTCCGTGATTAAGCGCTGTGATGAGCAGTCCGGTCGCCTTGCAAGCTGTAAAACTGGTAGTAGAACCCCTCACTTTGACATGAATTGCAGTAGATGTGTTGAGGATAGAACTCGTGAGTGAATCGCCCCCAAGGGACAGCTTTGCATTGGGTTTTGCGCCTGTGACAGGGCAATCTGCTTGGCACCACAGGAATTTGTAACTATACGCTGATAGCTGCAGGTGAGAAAATACTGTGTTCGTCCAGAGAGCTAATTTTCTGCTCATACATAATTCAATATTGAGAGCTCATCCCTTCTATGAGTTGTTGCCCCTGCCATTCAATGTGATTCCTTCTGGACAACACGGTCGCGGTCAATCCTCCCGGGCGCTAATCGGAGCCTGGACATACAAGCGCGCAAGTTATCTCACCTACGCGGGCTCCGGAATTTGAAATAGGGGGGAGGTAGGACCTCTCTATCAAACTGCCCCAGACGTCTGGGTGACCGCGGTGGTGGGGTGCGGGTGTAACACCCATACAGTGATTAACGGCTCCTTGGGACAGGTCCCAAGGAGCCGTTAATCACTGTACGTCTGGGTACGAGACCATATCACACCGTCTTGGACACACTTACCATATAAGGCAGGTTAGATTAAGCGCCAGCGTCGCATCGCGCTGGGGGGTAGTGTTGCCGCCAAGCTGAGCCGGCTTATCCAGCTAACTCAGCTTGCCAACTAGACGCCTAGCTTGTTGCAACAAGCCAAGCTGAGCCGGAGCGCCGAAAATCCAGTTGATGGTCAGCTCGTTTCCGAGCCAGCTGTCGGGCTAACTCATTTAGTGATGTCATACCTGCCGGACTCGGTATATCATTGGTACCGCCACAGCTCGTGAGACCGGGCTGGTGAGCCTTCGGGGACAGACTCAGCTGTGTTCACTAGATCTCATGCCTCTCTGAGTTGCAGTATTATATCAGGAGCTATGCAATTTTCATAGGCTGCTTTGGAGCGATAGTATGTTCTGCGGAAATTGTTGGATACCTCTCAGCCATGCCTCAAATAGCACACTGGCAGTTGCGACTTTTCTCTCCCAACCTATACAGTAACAGGTTGCATTCTTTCTTATGTACCACAGGTCAAACATTTGTGCTGAAGGTTGAACAATTACAATAGGTGTTTCTCTGGCATGGGAGGATTACCCACTTCACTCTACATGTCTAGATCATCATTCACTGGCACTGGCACACTTGAGCATTATACCT